CCCAAACCATTCCCTCTATCGAAAAAAAAAAGGGGGGGGGGAGGTGATCGTTACCCAAACCCCCATGCAATATGGGATAAATATTGACTGGGGTGATCGTAATGATATAATAACTAGTTGACATACTGTACCAGTAGGCTCTTGCACCTACCATGATTTTTTTTGGGATGATTCGGCCCCCCCGAACCCCCCCCCCCCCGGCTACATGCCTGGTTCCATGTATGTGTTTACATGAAGATGATTTCAACAATGTAGAAATTCTAACTTTTTTAGACTGCAATTCCCACCTACTCCCAGCAAGTATGGACATATTGCAAAGGGTTTCTGCAATCCATGGCAGAAGCTGTGGCAGTGCTGATCAAATCAGAAGACAGTTGTACTATTATTTCCCTTGATGTGGAAGCTATCTTCCTGCTGATTAAGGATTTCATTTTTACTGGATGGCATTTGGCTAGTGACATATCCTAGTATCATTCACAGTACTCATATGTAGGGCAAATTATTTGTGGTAGAACAATAGTTATGCTGATAGTGGCAGAGGTGGGGTTGCACATACTGTAAGATTACATATTCTGTTTATGTATTGTATTTTCTGTCCTGTGAATTGCGGCTGTACATTGCATTGAATTGAGGTTGGGTAATGCTGGTACAGTGCACCCCCTTGTGCATATTAATCCTATGCTAAGGGGATGTTCAATTGCCGACACTGTCATGGAAGGGGTCATGAAACTTTTAATCAGTTTGACTATAAGCCCATTAATTTTTTTCTCTGTGTAAACTTTTCTTCTTCTTTGTTTTAAGAAATGTCTGGACTCTGATGAGCTAGGGCATGTCACTTTACCTTTTACATTTGCTTTCAGATGGGTTTTTTGTGCTTTGAACATCTCCATTTGATCATCTCTTTATATCTGAAAAGCTCATTATTAGCAATTTCACAAAGACTATACACGAGTTAGTCTGTGTTCTTCTGTTCTGCAGAACCAACTCAGTCAATTATGCCTAAATGAAAAAAGCATGAGGGTAATTCTGCCAGTTTATCCATGTTTGGAAGTGAAATTCCTCTACACCTGGTCTGACTGTAGAAATCAGGTCCACTTCTAGATAGGTATAACAATTAAACAAAACAAAAAAGGTATGAGGAGAAAGACTGTGAGTGACAGGAACAAATTTGAATGGACAAATCACAAACATTCCAGCTTTCATTCAAGGTAATTGATGGAATTATTACTCCTGCTAAAGAGTCAGCGTGATGTGGTGTTTTAAGTGTTGGATCACGTTTCTGGGAGCCCAGGGTTTAGATCAGGAGCATCACAAATCATTTTCATTGAGGGCCACATCAGCCTTTTGATTGCCTTCAAAGGGCTGCTCAATCCATGAACAGAAAATCTGTGGATACAGAGGGCCATCTATAACTTTTTAAACATAATGGTTGGTGCTCTTCAGTTTTTACCCAATCTGGATTATTGAATGATAAATCCCATCACTATGAGGACTGGGGATAATGGGAAGTGTAGCCCAACAGAATCAGTGCTCTAAGGTTGGGGAGCTTAAAGGATATTTTAAAGTCAGATATCATATCCATAAGCCTTGTATCTAAATTCATACCCTATTATCCTGACTAAACAGGACAAATCACAGCCTTCCAGATGTTCCTGTATCACAGCTGTAGTCATGATGCCTAATGATGAGGAATACAGGAGTCGTAGTCCATCATCTGGAGGGTCACATACAATGACATTGTGGGCCAGATTTGGCTGATGGCTCTTGAGTTTAATAAATGTGGTTTAAATTCCAGCTCAGCTATGGAAATGCACTGAGTGACCTTGGGCAATTCATACTCCTTTAGCCTTAGAAGAAGGTAGTGGCAACCTGATCCAAATAAATCTTACCAAGAAAGTCCAGTGATAAGTTCACCTTAAGGTTGCCATAATGAATGGAACAATGAATTCCTATCACTAAGATCCAAAAGATCCAAAGTTTTTTCTCTGCATGTTGTTTCACATCTTCTTAAAACAGCAAGATTGGGGAGAAAATAACAAGGTGATTACCTTTGCATGTATGACCTCAGCAGCGTGATTCCGAGAAGGAAGTACATCATAATGGAACACACCATCATCGTCAATCCGAGGAGAATGGCCCGGTCCTCTCCGGCTTTGAGAGCGGTGACTGTTTTCCTTTTGTCCAGTAGATCATGATCCCTGATTTTTTGGTAAATATTTCTGAGGTTGAAAACAATACATTCTTATGTGGAGTTCACACTTAATCAATAAACCCTCTAAAAGGACTGACTGCTCCATTTCCAGGGCCTGTCTCAAGGGAGAGCAGGGCTTTAAGGTTTCCACTGCTGGTGTTCGCTAAACAATTTCCTCTTCGACCTGCTAGAGAAAAATCACTGACATCCAGAATACACAACAAGACTTTTGCTGCTGAAATGTTTTCAAAGAGACTTGCTTCCTTGCATCTGAAAACATTTCAGCTCCAAAGAAGAAGCAAACCTCAGTTTACAGTCCTTAAATTGTGCACACCAGAGGAATGTTATTGGAATATCCACTTCTTTAATATATGCAGGAATGTCTAAGAGTGCAACTAAAGGACAGAAGAAATGGAATTTGAAAGCTTTTGAAATACCAAGGCTCAGTGCTAAAGAATCCTGGGATTTGTAGTTTTGTGAGGCATCAATACTTTGATAGAGAAGGCTAAAGACCTTGTGAAAACAGCAATCCTCAGGATCCCATAGCATTGAGTCATGACTGTGAGTGCCGTTCAGCAGTGGAACTCTCTGCCCCGGAGTGTGGTGAAGGCTCCTTCTCTGGAAGCTTTTAAACAGAGGCTGGATGGTCATCTGTCAGGGGTGCTTTGAATGCAATATTCCTGCTTCTTGGTAGGGGGTTGGACTGGATGTCTCATGAGGCCTCTTTTATCTCTATGATTCTATGATTAGGTTCTTGTGGGTTTTTTCGGGCTATAGGGCTATGTTCTAGAGGCATTTCTCCTGACGTTTCACCTGCATCTATGGCAAGCATCCTCAGAGGTAGTGAGGTCTGTTGGAATTAGGACAATGGGTTTATATATCTGTGGAATGGCTGGGGTGGGGCAAAGAGCTCCAGCAGAGAGGAAACAACCAGGCACATCTTAACACATCTCAACAAAAGATTTTCCCAGGCTCAGCCAGGCCTTCAAATGCTAATGAAGGTGGTCAGTTGAAACATTCACACCTAGCTCCAGCAGAGAAGAGCTCTTTGCCCCACCCCAGCCATTCCACAGATATATAAACCCATTGTCCTAATTCCAACAGACCTCACTACCTCTGAGGATGCTTGCCATAGATGCAGGCGAAACGTCAGGAGAAATGCCTCTAGAACATGGCCCTATAGCCCAAAAAAACCCACAAGAACCTAGTGATTCCAGCCATGAAAGCCTTCGACAATACATTCTATGATTACTTTGTCAATATTACTGACTACTGAATTATTTTCAAGCCAAATTCCAAATCCTGGTTTTTAGAGTCTTCAATTGTCAAATACCAGAGCATCTTAGGAAACTCCTCTTTTCACATAAATCTGCATTTAAGACTTTTTTTCTCTATCCTGCAATGCAAATGGATAGAAGTTCTTTGGTGATGGCACCCAGAATGTAAAATGGACCTCAGACAGAATCCCATTCTTCACTGTCCTGTTTTGGACAAACTTTCCCATTAAAAACATCATTCTAGTGGCCTTATAAGAAAAAGCCCTGGTTCTTGATGCATTTTAAATCACTTGCTTTTAAATATCATTCCTATTTTACTGCTATGATTAATTCTGTTATTGTATTTTATTGTAGCCTAAAGCCTTGTGAGCCATTCTGAGCACAACTTGATACAAAAAGAGAGGAGATAGATTACAGAAATAAAATGAAACTCATAAAATTAAGTGCCATAAAGGTCAGAGAACCAGTGGAAAAGGAAGATAGGAAATTGGCTTATCCTAGGTATTTGTGCACTTCATGCAATAATGTACTGGATTATATTATTTCATTTACACTCAGCCTTTCCTCAAAGATGGGTCATCACCTGTCTATTTTGACTAGTGTGTTAGTTTTCAGGCTCTCAAGAAGAGCTATAGTGGAGCAGACCAAAGACCAAAGTGACAATTCAAAGCTCCATGAGAAGCTAGAAATCAGAGATTAAGAGTAATCATATTCTACCATTCTTTGTTTGGCAGCAAATAATATTCAGAGATATTCAGAAGGCCATTAGCTGCTACCAGATTCTTTAAAGCTGTACAGACATTTTGTCATGGAGGGCTTGAAATAGCAATATTCTATATGTAATGAAAGACACTACAAGAGAGCTATAATTGCTCCACTTAGAGCCATCAATGTGTGGAAGAATCTTGTAAGTCTACTTTCAATGTGACTTGACATTATTATGCTGATAAATTATTTGTTACTACAAATGGCAACGAATAATGTGGAGCCAGGCTGTGGCAATGCGGAGGCATACAACAAAGTGCTACTAGCAGTTGACCCGTACGTTCTTGAATTGCTGTTAGTTTTGGTGGCAATCAGGATCTATCTATCAAAGTATGAAGGAGACTGAGGGCACATCTAGGCCAAACTGTCCAGTGTAAATATGAACCAGAGTAGTCTTGCATCTGAGGGCATTGTTTAGATGGGAGAGAGTACATCTGCTCTGCCTAGCTGGTGTGCATCTCACTACCTCCATGTCTCTGCTAAAGTCTTATCTAGCCTGACAAAACTTAGTGTAAGCTCTTGGATGCCATGGGCACTTCTGCTGACATTGGAATAGGAAGCCTGCATGAAAGAGGGGCTGGTTTCCCTTCTTTCTTCACTCCGGCACCTCATTCTGCCACTGGCACAATCCGGCAGTCTCTCTTCTCTCTTCCTAATCATGGGTGCCTTTGCTAATGTCAGAATTTGGTGTCTGCAAGAAGGGATATTGCTCCTTCATTCATGCTACTTGCATGGGCATTCTGTTGTGTTGTCAACAGAGGCACCCACAATGGCCCGAGGCTCACATGGAGGTCCCGGGTGTGCTAGGAGTGGCAACAGCAACACAGCCACGATCTCTATCCTGAATGGGCAATAGTGCCAGTGTCCAGTCTGGACAGTGAACTAATCCCAAGTGGATCTGATATAGCTGTCCAGACTACCTCAAAGCTGTGGGGTATTGTAGAGTTTCAAACAAACCCTGGAGTATTCCCTGACTGTGCCCAAATCCTGGGATGCTCACTGGAGGTCACAGAATCATAAATTGGAAGAGACCACAACGGTCATTTAGTCCAGTCCTCTGCCATTTGACACATCCAACAGATGTCCAGCCTCTGCTTAAAAACCTCCAGAGAAGGAGATTGCACCACATTCTGAGGCAGCATAATCCACTGCTGAACAGCTCTTGTTATCAGGAAGGTTGCTCTGTATCAGGAAGTCTGCCTTCGATTTGGAGTGACTCTCTGGTGTTTTGTTCTGAGATGGTCAATTCAGGCGAAAAATGGTATGGTGGAGACAGCAGTTTCCTAGTTCATATATTATGGAGGCCCTGTGACTCTAGTTCTAAAATAATTGTCTGGGGCACAGTATGTCTATGCTCTGAATTCAGTATGTAGTAATAGCAATTAAAACCCTAAATGGATTGGGACCCCAACACCTTTAGTTCCTGGACCTGTCTGAGAACTGAGGTCTATGTTATTTTTATTGTCTTTACATTTCTCCACCTGTTTTTATTGTGACCTCCCAACCCTTTTCTCCTGGCACATCATTTCTACGTGCCAGGAGAACTCTGGCACTGCTGTAGTGGAGGCCGAGTACATTCTTTTACTTTTAAAAGGGCTATTGGGGAGGGGGTTAGAGTGTCCACGTGTTCTCTTGGAATGTTTCAGGAGAGCATCTGGACACCCACCCCAGAAATCACATGGGAACATTTGTGTTCTTAAAACGTGAAAGTTTTCAGATTAAAGGACTGTCTGGAAGTGCAGAAGAGTCAAACAAAATATCTACTGGATATACGTATATTTATTTATTTACCTTGTTTTATATTTCGCCCATCCCCCTCATTGAGGAACTCAGAGCAGCTCAATAATAATCTACAATGGATTAATAGGATTTATTCCCAAGTAGAGATGATAAAGGGATTCACTGGGTGTGTATTTTACTATGGAAGTAGCCATTTTGCTCCTGATAGGAGACCAGCAGTGAGACAAACTTCATTTTATTTTGGAAATTAGTACATTTCTGGTGCCTCTAACCTGTGTCATCAACGAAAAGTACTATGTTTATATCTGAAGCATGAACACAATGAAAACTGTGTATAGTTTTAAAATACAGCAATATATGCTTTAGTAAATGGAAGAAAAAAGTCACAAAAAGGCTTATATTGGGGCAAGCAGAAGAAGTTGTATTAGTCCACTGCAAGAAAAAGCAATGGTCTACTGCTCCCTTGCAGACTACCTTGTTTTATTTGGCATCTGATTTTGTGGATGGGAGTACACTTCATGGGATGCATTAGGAAAAAATGTACCAATACATTGCATATATGTTTCTGCATAGAAAGAAAGTGGGAAATGGGATGGCATGAGAATGTTGGCAGAAATCTGAGAAATCAAACTGAAGACACAACAGCATGAAATTGATGAATTTTCACATTTCTACTTCCAGGTAATGTGTGTAGCGTAGCAGCCATTTGGTCCAGTACTGTGTGTATCACTTCGCTTACACTGATTTATTTCTTTGGTGTGTTGCAACTTTTATCATATTGAGGGAGATGTAGCTTTAAAAAAGGATTTTCATGGATGCCTCCAATGATTGAAAATCCTATGTGCCTGCTTTTGCAGAGGACCTTTGTTTGCAAAAATGCTGCTGTTTAGAGAAAAAGCTGCCAAGGATGAATTCACAGAGATGGACAGATAGTACTTCCTAATACTCCTTTAATTTCCCAGCCGCTTGAAGTACTAACCTATAGACACTTTCCAACTGAGTGTTCATGGCCAGAAAACAATAGACTATAGTTGTGCCATTATTAAGATCCCATGTGTGCCTTCCTGTCTGTTAGAATTATAGAGAGCCAATGAAAATCTGTACAGCTGGTTTAGACCAATGAGATAATTGATTGCTGTAGACCAATGAGAATCTGTCTTTAATTCTCTGTCAAAGTGATAAAAGTCTTTTAACTCCATTTGGGGATGCGACAGAGCTTTTTATGCTCCATGGATTCTGTCCCTAT